CTGGTGACAAAACTTTTTCTATTAATGCAGTATTGATTGTGTTTTTTTGTTGTTGCTAGCTGCCTTCGATCAGGAGGAAAATCATGTAAAAACACCAAACAATTTCTTCACAACTTGTGTGATGAAGGTGATGACTATCATGATTTTTGACACACAAATTAAAACCTTGCCGAGCACATATGACTAGGTCACGGATTTTTCAGTATATAATTTTTCAAATATTTCTGGCATGTTGACACAAAGTAGGTACAGCTATTTAAGTGTATGTTTGCGGTATATTTAAAAAATTCAACTTATCATTCAGTCAGAACACAGTAGCATGGTTTCTTTACATAATGCATACGTTCATATATTTTCATGTCTGTCAGTCATATGTCAAAAACAATTTAGAACTGTCTAAATCATCTCTGGTTAATTTCCAATGTGGGACATTCCTCTGTAAGAATCAGTAACTTATTGTCTTTTAAAACAAGCAGGAATTTAAGACAGTATGTTACAAAAACACAACATTTAATCAACGACAGCTTACTGGGAAACAGATGGAGGTTGCCAGTTTAAAAGGTTTATTATGCTTATAAAATAATTACATTCAATATGGACTTAATATATTCGTTACTCTGTGCACTCTTTATATGCCAGTTGCAATTACAACGTAAACAACAGCCAGGCAACATTTAGAAGCGTGTTGTGAACAGGAATGGACACTTAATGCGCTTTTCTACTGTAGAACTTACAGTTTTGGCTTGATTCGCCTGTTTAAGTCTGTTTTTGTTCACTGCAGTCCCCTTGTTGCGCTTCCACTCTTCAGATAAGACAGCCGTGAAGTCAGAGAGATGTTTGCTCAACTCCGACACGACACTTTCAACTAACACCCCCATAACGGAGGACAGTAACTCGTGAATTACTGCCGTCATGCTCAAGGATGATTTTCTCGGCACTTTACTCCCAAAAATATGCGTACTACCTCATTACATACAATAATGCAGGTTTAAAACGTATCCTAGCTAGCCCGATTAATTTGGTTGTTTGTGGCGGGTGAACAAACGGAAGGAAATACGTCTCTCAAACTAAAATCCCAAATGGAGTATGTTTTGGAATAGCACTACTGCCAACTAGAGGGTTGGAGTTATTAGGACGCTTTACTTCAAGTGGGGAAGTCAAATGTTTATATTTCTTCTATAGGAAGCATAAAGTCTCTAAATTTGTGATATTCATATAAGAGAACTAAATGTTGATATTTGCTAATGTTTTTTCAACCCTATAGAAAACACTTTTTTTTCCTGCATTTGTGAGATGCATGGAACAATTCTTAAGAAATTCTTATTATTTTATGCATGATTGTTGTGACTCAAAAATTAAAACCTTATTTTTTTTTTTTAAACACAAACAATTTTTTGAAGTTTTCAAAAATATCTGATTTGTGGACAAAAAAAAGAAGTACAAATTACAATGAACTTGGATGTAAATTACATTAAACTGACATTAAAAAAATGAGTTTAGTCTTGTATAAATTGGGGAAAAAAAGTTGAAAACTGCTTAACATATTTGTAGCTAAACCAATGTAAAAACATATGTTATCATAACTAACAGTATCATATAATTTTTTACAGAGAAGAGACAGTTGAGCAAAACAAAGTTGGTGGTGTCCGTGCCGGAGACGGTGGTGTCCGTGCCGGAGACGTTGGTGTCCGTTCCGGAGACGTAGGTGACCGTGCCGGAGACGGTGGTGTCCATTCCGGAGACGTTGGTGTCTGTGCCGGAGACGTTGGTGTCCGTGCCGGAGACGGTGGTGTCCGTGCCGGAGACGTTGATGTCCGTGCCTAGAGACGGTGGTGTCCGTGCCGGTGTCCGTGCCGGAGACGGTGGTGTCCGTGCCGGAGACGTTGATGTCCGTGCCTAGAGACGGTGGTGTCCGTGCCTGTGTCCGTGCCGGAGACGTTGGTGTCCGTGCCGGAGACGTTGATGTCCGTGCCTAGAGACGGTGGTGTCCGTGCCGGTGTCCGTGCCGGAGACGGTGGTGTCCGTGCCGGTGTCCAAGCCGGAGACTCCGTGCCGGAGACATTGGTGTCCGTGCCGGAGACGTTGATGTCCGTGCCTAGAGACGGTGGTGTCCGTGCCGGTGTCCGTGCCGGAGACGTTGGTGTCCGTGCCGGAGACGTTGGTGTCCGTACCGGAGACGGTGGTGCCGGAGACGTTGATGTCCGTGCCGGAGACGGTGGTGTCCGTGCCGGAGACGTTGATGTCCGTGCCTAGAGACGGTGGTGTCCGTGCCGGTGTCCGTGCCGGAGACGTTGGTGTCCGTGCCGGAGACGGTGGTGTCCGTGCCGGAGACGTTGATGTCCGTGCCTAGAGACGGTGGTGTCCGTGCCGGTGTCCGTGCCGGTGTCCGTGCCGGAGACGTTGGTGTCCGTACCGGAGACGGTGGTGCCGGAGACGTTGGTGTCCGTGCCGGAGACGGTGGTGTCCGTGCCGGAGACGGTGGTGTCCGTGGCGGAGACGGTGGTGTCCGTGCCGGAGACGTTGGTGTCTGTTCCGGAGACGTTGGTGTCCGTGCCGGAGACGTTGGTGTCCGTGCCGGAGACGGTGGTGTCCATGCCGGAGACGTTGATGTCCGTGCCTAGAGACGGTGGTGTCCGTGCCGGAGACATTGGTGTCCGTGCCGGAGACGCAGGTGTCCGTGCCGGAGAAGACGGTGGTGTCCGTGCCGGAGACGGTGGTGTCCGTGCCGGAGACGGTGGTGTCCGTGCCGGAGACATTGGTGTCCGTGCCGGAGACGTTGGTGTCCGTTCCGGAGACACTGGTGTCTGTGCCGGAGAAGACGGTGTCAGTGTCGGAGACGTTGGTATACGTGCCAGAGATGGTGGTGTCCGTGTCGGTGACAGTAGTGTCCGTGCCGGTGTCCCTACCGGAGAAGGTGGTGTCCGTGCCGGAGACATTGGTGTCCCCTGCCAGTAACGGTGGTGTCTCTCAGTCTTTTTACACCTTTTTGTCATGTTTTCTCAATAGAATTCATAAAATTATGGAATAGAATAGCATAGTTCTAATAGGGGCACATTGTAACGCAGTGTTACAACATGCCCCACCTGCACAACTGGGATTTAAACCCTGCTAGTGGTTAGCGAAGCATTAAAGAACCATGTCAACTGTTAAATAACATATTGGAGATTAAAATAATATCAGATTTGTCTAATTTAAAATAAACACAAAAAATATAGATGAAAAATTAACATAAGTAAGAAATTTACTTTTGCTATGGTTAGATAAATGTTCAGTGATATCTTCCAAAGATTTCTGAATTTTGGCGCAATCAACACTCTATAGAGTGATGATATGGCAACTAACTCCGTGAGGTGACAGAAGACACAAAATGCTGAGTTTTGGGTTAATTTTGATTCTCTACCCCACCTTAAAATAACATTAAAACTGAGCATGTATTTCTAGCAGGTAAAATGCTGTAAATACATGACATCCGATCAAATTACCTCATCTTTTGCAGTCAAAACTGACTGCATTCACTCAACAATGCTGCCTTGGCAAATCACGCCTACTACCGTTCTCGACCATGTAGCCTACATTTGTAAAATTGGGGATTTAGCACTTACTAGTATGAAGAACAAATATAGACACAGACTGTCCATAGAGATCAATTTAAGATTTAAACTCTCTTCGATACAAAAACATACCCTGTGTGAGTTCCTGTGTTATCCACACGATTGCAAATGTGATGTGACATTGATTTTATACAACATGCAGTTCAACAAACGAAAGGTATTAATATCAAGTGATGGTAGCCTAATTTTAAACACAGTATTGTCAGTATTTTTTTCAACAAAATAATAGCTCCACGAAAGCCACAGCAGAACATCAGCAGTGTTTGTGAATGAATCTGCGGCTTTGAACAAATCGTGAGTCAATGCTTCAATGATTCATTCATAATTACAGCCACTTGCTTCGTTACTGAATGAATGAATGAATGAATGAATGACTCACTCATAAAGACTGTGACTTGCTGTCACCTAATGGCGTTTTTAATTTAATAATAATTGCATTGCGTTTTTTACCATCATTGCATATTTCTCTATTAAACATTTGATTTTATTTATAGCATTATTTATTTTATAAAGAAATGTGTAACGGTAAAAAATGCACTGGAAAAATCGATTTGAGGGTGCAAATGTTGCCCCTTACTAGGTGTGACTGCAGAGAGGGGGTACACAGAAGGATGTTAAAAGCCTTAGGGGGTACGATACTCTAAAAAGTTTAAGAACTTATTAACTGTTCAAATGGTAGCTAATGTTTACAAAATGTTTTATTTTTTGTTTTGGTTGTACTGTGTTTTCATTTGATGCATTAGAACAAAGTGTGAAGAAAACAAAAAAATTCGTTCCGCAGACAAAAGGAGAACACAAATTATCTGACCTGGGCTGTGTTCAGCCATTTAAACGGAAACGGTGGTGCGTTGCATAGACATTATGTCTATGCATTATGTCATATTATGTCTATGTCTATGCGTTGAACACCCTGTTCTGATGAAGCGCGTCTTGCGCAAGAGTTGCAACTATGGCAGCTGAGAAGGCCATTCTTTGTGTTCTTTTTGAAGAATTCTCGGAGCCTGATGAAATCAGTAATACGTGTTTAATACTGCAAAATACACTCGATGTTACAGTCACTGCCCTTGCCGTGCAGAATAAAAGAGAACATGCCAATCGAGTGAAGGGATTTGTGGAAGCTGGTTCCTAATTATTGTGATCCAACATTTGCCTCACATTTCAGACTGAAAACACATATGAAGATTGTAATAACAAAAATGGAAGCAAACCAAATCTATGAAATAAATAAATACAACTTAATACATTTACTAATTTAATAATACTTTGTGTAAATCTTGCAAATTACATAAACATGGTGGTTCCCCAGGACCAGATTAGTTTTTAGTTTATTGGATGTACACAAAATAATCTTTTTGACAAAAACAAATAAATTACTGAATTGAAGTGTTAGACTTCTGTTCCAGTAATGCAACGAACAAAATGTTAATACAGTTCTACAAGATGTATAGCATCAATAAAGATCTTTTAAAACTTGTTTAAGTTCGAGCTTTAAATGGGTGTCCCATAGAGTCATTAGTTCTGTTGTGGGTTCTAGAGGCTAAGCTCAGTTATAGACTCTGCCTCAGCTGCCGGGTTCTCAGGCTGAGGGCTCTGAGGAGCAGGACTCTTCACAGCAGGAGTGTATGTAATGGGAATCACTCTCTCGTTGCTCACAGCATTAGCCTCTTTGGGTGCTTGTATCTGTAGCTGGCCGTTATTTAAAGAACAGGTCACCATTTCAGGACTCACACCATCAGGAAGGTCAAACTCCTGCCTAAATTCTTGGCTTCTGTACGAGTACGATCCTTTCCCATCATCTTGCTTCTTCTCTGTCTTGCCGCTCACCCGCAACTTCCTGCCCACTTGTTTGACGGACAGCTCCTCTGGAGAGAAATCCTTCGTATCTAGTGTCAGTGCATAATGGCTTCCTTCCTTTCCGAGCTGGAATGAGATGGGTCTGAAAGTGGTCATGGGTGGGACATGGTCAATCTCGTCAAAAATCCTTTGGTGCAGGCGTTCCATGAACTCCAGGTTGTGCCTCATCTCCTGCATGTGTCTCATCATTTCTTTCTCGATCTGAAAGAACAGAGGTCTTGTCTCCGGCCACAGGCTGCGCACTGGCCAGTGGAAGTCCATGAATGGGCTGAGATGAGGCTGAAATGTGCTTGGGCAAAGCATCTTTGGTGGATTTTCGGTGCTGTGTTGAGCTGGTCGACTTCGTCTGTGCTTCTGTCCCAATGAACAAGACTCAATGCTTATATGCTGCCTCAGAACATTCGAGTAACGCTCTGATATTAGCACTGCAGTATGTGTCACCCTGTCGAAGAGCTGCTATGACTGAGCACTTGCAGTCATGTTCCAAAACAAGTCGGCTGTATTTTCGTGATCCATCTGTTAAATACCAGAGAAGTGCATCGTTGTTCTATTTACAGTGAGCACTCATGGCACTCCAATGGGTCTGCATAACTTTCTATTAAGGGAAGAGGTTAATGCAAGAGGATGATATGGTTTTCGTTTTATATTAATATACTTTATATGAATAATTCTGGCTAATCGGGGTTACTCTAATAAATATTTCAATGTTTTCTGTTTGTGTCATAACTTATACTTCATATTCTGTCAGTAGTGTTTAAATTTATCTTACGAGGATTCTAACAAGCTTTCTAATCCTGCCGGATTCTGAAATTGACACCATGCGTTGGCAGCGCCTCTGACGACGTCACCACCTGAAATAGTTGAATCTAAACAAACAAACGTATCATCACTTGGAAACTGACAGCAAACATATATTTAGGAAAGAATTCATCTTTATAGAATAACCATGATTTTTTTTTTCTTACAGGATTATATTAGATACATAAAGATTGTACAATTTGTATTTGAATGACAATGGGCAGTTGACATTACACTTTCTAAATGTTTTTAAATAACTTTCTAATTCTTATACTACTACTGCTACTACTAAATAAATAAATGCCCCATATTAATTGAGAGATGGACTATTTACCTATTTAAAAAAACAACTAATTTCTGTCACACTGTCAGGCTATTTAAGTCCTATTTAAGTTGCTAAAAAGGATGTTAAAATGGTGAATAATAATAATAATAATACACAATAGCCTACTAAACAAAATTATAAAATGAATATAAATAAATAAATAAATAGCCTAAATAAATTATATTATATTATATTATAATGAATTATATTATATTATATGAATTATGTACTTCAAAAAACGTATTCGTAACAATGTAGGGCCATTTAAGTGAACTGCTAAAATCGTTATCAAATATATTGAATAATAATAATAATCAATAATAAATATACCCATATTAATTGAGAGCATTGGATACAATATTTATAATTTACAAACTCAATTGTCATACTACATGAATATTTACGTGAACTGCTAAAAAGGTTATTCAAATTCTGGAGAGAAAAAAGTCACAAAAGTTCATGGACATGTACAGTGTACTGACAGTAATCATAAATCATCCCCGAGCCGAGTCGAGCGCGCACTGACTTATTCTCCTGCGGCTGAAGAGATCCATTCAAACATGGTTCCTCCCGTACAGGTCTCCCCGCTTATCAAGGTAACGTTACATGTTCTATTCCGACTATGACCCTCAAACCCTGCTTTATATTCATTAACATGTTTTATTCTTATTCGTTTATATTTATTTATCAGCGACCTTCATTCATCAGCGAATTAGCTCGCTAACGTTATACATTGCTAGCGCAAATCTGTTAGCTTAGCATAGAATTTATTGGTCAAACCAATAGCAACTGTAGCCGGTGAATGAGCTAATCGTGTTAGCCTAGCTGCCTATCCTCAGCACTGCAAGGTCAGGCATGTTAACTGAGTTGAAGATTACCACGACGTGTTGCAAATATACCGGCGACTGAACGTGTCAAATGTTTAAATAGAATGAATAATGGGAATTGAAAGTTCTACATGCCCCTGTGGTGAGGTGAATTAACACAAATATATACATCCATCCCCTGTAGTCACTGAATTAGTATGAGGTCATACATAATGCACACTTCTTATATAAAAACAGTATTTTATATTTGAAAACTTTTTACAAAATAGTTGACTATATTAATTATAGCATGTCACACCAGAGGACAGTGATGAATGTTTTTGTACCCATAAATAGACTGTGGTTTGCATGCATAAAAACTGTATTTCCTCATACTGTAACTGTATGTTCAATTTTCGTAGTATTCAGTAAAGAATAGATTTATAAAATATCACAGTGGCCTTTAAAGTCCTTGACAAGCTTACCAGTAAACAAACCAGCAGTCTTCTTTCTGATTTCAGACAGCAAGATGGTCAGCCTTGCTAATTGGATTAATTTATGGGAAGCAGAGATATGGTAAGTTTTTGTGGTATGGGACGATATATAATTATAATGAACATGCACGATATTGTATATCATGGGCACTTCAAAATACCATGAATAATTTCTTATTAATAATTGTTTCGATTTTTCGAGTGAATTTTAAGAATAAAATGTATAGATATTGAAAATTATTTGATTCTTTATTATTGTTCAATAACACTTTACAATAAGAGTATTTACGTTTTTTTGTATTTTTTATTGAAATATAAATCTGCAAATAAAAAAATATAAAAAAGGTATATCAAAGTCGTATCTGTTGATATTATTTATTAACAGATAAATAATATGGACTTGAGCTAAAATGAACTAACAGTGAACAGTTGTATTTTTATTAACTAACAAATAACTACCCGTACTGTAACAAATGTAGCTATTGCTCATTGTTAGGTAATGCATTAACGTAATGAGACCTTATTGTAAAGGGTTACCTATTGTTTTTTATAGTTCTTTTGCACTTTAATCTGTTTGAAACATTTGTTTACTTTATACATTTTTTGTTTTGTATTTAAATGTTCAGAGTTGATTTCTTGTTTTCTTCCTCATTAAATAGTTTTTCTATGGTGTTTTTCAATCAATCTGCTCACCAGATTATCTGAAGCCCATTGCTGTTGAAGAAAGAAGGATTGAGGAGGAAGAGAAGAAACTCAGGGAAGAGCGAGAGCGCATTTACAAACAGCTTTCTGAAGGTCTGTAACCAGCTATAAATAGTTGTGCATGTATGTCTGTATATATATATATAAATTATTCTACAATATAACAAGAATAAAATATGACAAAATATATGTAATAATAATACTTTTTTGGATCGTATTTGAACCCTGCCCCGTCTGTAAATTTCGTCTGTGGACATTTTACATTAACCAAACCTATGTAGAGGGAAGATACAGTATGTTGAAATGGTGTTTGATGAAAAAAACTGTTCCCTTTTTATTTTGTAATACATTAACAGCATCTCATGATGTAGCACATTAGAAAATTTGATATTTAACTTTGGGACCGAAGGTTGCTTTAGATTCTTTTGAATTCTTTACCAAAATATTCAATGAAACAAATGCAAAGAAATGTTATTCATGGAAAAGAATTTCAGGGGATGTATTTCAACTTGGTTGATGATTTAGAGAAAGTTATCAAAGTCCTGTGTATGTGTGTGTGTGGCATAACTTAATGACACGTTTAGTAGTAATACAGGGTGTTAACTTACTTGTGTTAACTTATTTCTGTCCTGTTTCCCAGTCTTTTTTTTATAATTTAACTAATTGAAGTAGACAATTTCTCACATTGTCTAGTGAGAAATACAATGAGTTGCATTAGCAACATATCAGATTTTGAAAATAAAACTTCAGACAGATATCCACTTAAAAAAAAAAAAAAAAAAAAAGTAGCTTGAATACCCTTGCTCACAACCACTAAAATATGGACGGAACTTTTACTGTATCTTCTTTTCCAGTGCATTTGTCTAAAGATTATTAAATCAAGATACATGTACTGGAGATACAAAATGACATAGAATATGAAGTCTTGTTTTCTGATCAAAATGAAGTGAGTTATGCTTAAAACAAGAACAAATATCCATCAATGAGCTTTGAAAACTTCCCTTTGAATGAAGTAGATTTTTCTGAGCTGGTTGGCAGATATTTGTTCTTTTTCTGTAGTTTTATTTTCAAAATCTGAAATGTTGCTAATGCAACTCATTGTATTTCTCACTAGACATTTACATATTGACGTATTGTATTTAATTTTTCTTTAAGTTGGTCTTAAAAAGGTCTTGGAAAAGGTCTTAAATTCATAAAACCTAAATTCTCTCTTTTTATTTTATTTCTACAGCAAACTCTGACACCATTCTGAAGTAAGTCTCCATGGCGTATCCATTCCAGCACCAAATGAGATGAATCACAATGAACCTAATTCTATTTTTCAATAAAGACAGAAGTTAAAATGTTTTTGTACAGTTTCTTTTTTCCTCATTTATTTCCACATTATTTAGGTAATTCTGATTTCTGCATACTATTTCAGCTAGGATATATTTTCATATGTTTATTTGTATGCACTATGTGCATCTAACAAAACAAGATCATCCTCTGAGAATGTGTTGTAGACTTTTTTGTCTTTTCTGCATTGCCGTAGTGACATTTATAGAGGGGGGACAATTGTATAACACGACAATGGTTTAGCATAAATCCCAGGATTTAGGTCAAGCCAATACAGTACAAGTGCTGATTTTGCACAAAATGCTTCACAGCTACTTATTTGAATAGTTAATGAAGTGTAGCACCGCAGATAAGCAAGTTATATTTGTTTAGATGTCTCAAAACTCTGCTTTCAACATTTATTGTGTTTATCTGAAACCCAGAAATGCTATGAGTTTAAAGGCCTGTTCACACCAAGAAAGATTAACTCTAACGATAACTATATTAGCATCCACACCAGCGGACGATAACGTTCTGTGTATTATAAGTTCACACTGAGTTTTGTTGTCTGCCACTTTAAAATGCTCAAGCTCTTTTTTATTATTCATCAGCTGGAAAAAATCGCTCTGAAGGTGATTTCAACGAGATCACTCCTCACTGCCGTTATAATAGTTGTGGTGTGGAATCTGCTATCCTTTTATATTTAGAACGATTTTTAGAATTATTTATTTATCGTTATAGTTTTCTCTCTTGGTGTGAACGGGCCTTAACAGAGACAAAAACATTAAAAGTCTTGTAAGAATATTGTCAAAGGATTTATTGTGAAATGGAATATGTACTGTAGGGATGTGTAGCTGTTCAGATAACCTTTGCAGATGACATCTAGGAAACTGCTGATAGTTCTCAGGATAAGAGGCTTTCTTATCGAGTGAGTCACTGAGCAGATGTGTGAAGAGAATCAAATCCTTTGTAAGGGTTTCAGATTACTATTATTGCTTTCATACACTATCATTCACAGGTTTGAGATTGGTAAGATTGTTTTCATGTTTTTGAAAGGCGTCTCACCAAGTCTGCATTTATTTGATCAAAAAGAGAGTAAAAACTGCAATACTATTAGTTTAAAATAGCTGTTTTTGCTTTTTTATGTACAGTATTTTAAATGTAATTCCTGTGCTGAATTCTAAAGCTGAATTTTCAGCATCATTACTCCAATCTTCAGTGTCACATGAGCTTTCAGAAATCATTCTAATATGCTGATTTGTTGCTCAAGAAACAACAATAAAAAAAAAAAACACTTAATATTTTCCTGGAAACCATAAAGCATTTTTCAGGATTCTTTGATCAATAGAAAGTTCAAAAGAACAGCCTTTCTTTGAAATGGTCATCTAAGTACTATGTAAAAAAAAAAAAAAAACAAGTTCATAAAAATATATGCTTTAATTGTCATGGTATTGAGCAAACAAAGTGGAGCTTAACATTTTTACCAATTTAATTGAAATCACCCATATTTGATGATAAATCAAAATAATCGAATTCTTGTCAAAAAACATGATGAAACTTGTTCTGCAAGTAAATCACATTTGTGTCAAACAAGTCTTATAACCAGGCCCCAACTGTCAGATCGATTAAAACATCAATTTTCTTATCTACTGCCTGAAACTTCGCTACTTAAATCAAACCTTTATTATATGTGAATCAGAAGCAGCAGCTTTGCATAATAAGCATGTACAATTCCTTAAGTGCGCTATAACACACCTTCATAGTATTTATTTTAAAACTATGCAAAGTCGTACCTCATAAAATTGATAAATAACTTACGTATATTGACACAATTAGATTCACAACTGATGTTTTCAAGATGTTTTATAGACAACCAGTGAAAGAGAAACTTGATTCCTATAAAAGTCAGACATAAGAGGAAAAACATTATGCCTGAATCTGGATACCTTTGTGAATTTAATCACAGACTTGTCAAGGTACAGTGTGATGACATGTCAGCTGAGAACTCAACAGATGAATGGTATCAAGGCCACTGGAATTAGTTTTCTCTGTGAACGCATGTCCCAACAGGGGAGAAACGGAGTAACTGGACATTGCTCAGTAAAACACACCCATGACAGCACTTGACGTAAATAATTCTGAAGAACAATTGCGCATTTCCTGTCAGAAATAAAAATAAATCTATAAAAACAGCTATAACTTAACTAAACTATAACTGACCACCACTGTATTCATATATTGCTTACCAGAAGCTATATTTTATGGCAAACTAAAGTCTGTCGCCTACCAAAGTCATAAAATTCTTACATTCAGCGACCTGAAAGTTAGCTTCCAAACTGTACGATGTGATCACTTTTAGAGGGAATGAATGACATAAAAACTGCATATCACTCATATAATGGCTTTTACGTTCAGGGAAAGTAGCAGGTGACACTAAATGGAACATTATTACAATTTTAAAATGGAGAAAAAGTTATCTTTAAAGTACAATAACTTGCTGTCATAATTATATACGTAAATACGTAGTTTTTTGATTCCTTGATTTGAATTACACATGCGTGAACTTGTCGTGGACCTGCTTGATATTAAATAGCAACTGATCACCAGTAAGGAACTGAAAGTAATTTATAGATGATGCTAATATTTTTGATTGGTTGGGGGATAAATCAGAACCATATTTGCAATGTTCACCTCTGAATTTTCCTGTGGTGCATTTAAGACTGCATTGTGATGAATTAAAATTGATTACCATCCAATGAAAATGCTTAAACCAAACACTATGACCCAAAGGAAACACAATGGAACAGTAATACTAACTGTAGGCAAGATCCAACGTGTGTTTTGGTTAGCAGGTGGTCTTGTGGTTTGCTGATAGCATTTAATGCATTGATAGTGTTTTCCCACTCACTCTTGGTTAGATCCTTGGGGATCCTGGGGTTCAGGTTGCATCCCCCCATTTGACGTAACAGAGGCTAAGTTGCATCTTGAACTGCCCTGCCCTCTGTACGGTTGTCTTTTCTCTAGCAGATGGAGCAGGTCTTGGACCCTGATCCACTGGTGCTGCTGGAATTTGCAGCTGTAGAGAAACAAATACAAACACAGAATTCAAATTATAGAAATGTGTTAGAATCATCATACAATATATGGCTGACAGGATGTGGACACTTTCTTGTAATTAACAGGATTGGCTATTCTAGTTCAGATCTGGGTTTTGTGACGACAGGTTGTTTTGAGATGAATAAAGTTCTTGATGTTTCATCATCTTCTTCAGGTCAAATTTTTGCTGTCTGGGTTCTTTAAAGCTCCAATATATAGATGGTTTTCTAGAGGACTAGAGAATACATTTATTTGTGTGGAAGTCAAAGATATTTTTTTATGTCATCAGGCTATAAAACCTTTATTATAGCAGCAAAGTGATTTTCCTTTTAATCTGTATAATTTTTTTTAATTAAATGTTCAACAAGCACATATAGTTGTGTTTGGGTGTCCACATACTTTTGGCCATTTAGCATTGTCAGTGTACACTACTGTTCAAAAGTTTGGTGTCAGTAGTTTTTATTTTATTTTTTATTTTATTCTGCAAGGATGCATTCAATTTAACAAAAGTGACAGTAAAGACATGTTGTAATTAATAGTAAAATTACATTTCAAATAAGTGTTGTTCTTTTGAACTTTCTATTCAACAAAGAAAACCAAAGAAAAATGTATCATGGTTTCCACAAAACTATTACATTGAAAACAATAAGAAATATTTCCTGAGCACCAAATCTGCATATTCGAGTGATTTCTGAAGGATCATGTAACACTGAAGACTGGAGTAATGATGCTGAAATTTCATCACAATTTAGCATCACAAGAATAAATTACATTTTCAATGTATTCAAATAGAAAACAGTTATTTTAAAGTGTAATGATATTTCACAATATTGCAGTTTTACCGTGTGTTTGGTCAAATAAATGCAGTCTTAGTGAGCATAAAAGACTTCTTTCAAAAACATTTTTAAAAAACTTACCAACCCCTAAACTTTTGAGCAATAGTGAACATGTCAAATGTCAACCTGAAGGTTTCATCAAATTTAGTACAAATACAGTAAACGAAACTGAATAAAAGCTTAAGCAAAAGACTATCTAAAATGCAAACCGTTGTTGGTAGCTGCTCCCTGTTTGGCTTTAGCTGCCTCCTCCAGTTCCTTTAGTTTCGACTCATATTCCTCCTGCCTCGCTTTCCAATTCATCCGGTTGTTCAGAATGCCATCATACATTGGCTGGATGTCCTTGTGGAAACGAGAGAACTCCTGTGGAATAATAAGAGAAAAGGGTTGCTAATTAATCTTACTGACCAAAACTTTGTCGTTTTGTTTTTGGCATTAATTTCATGAAACAGAAATTGATCAGTCTCCTTCATTCATAAAGGTACCTTGTAGACAAAAGTACAGACAAAGTCGATAAAACCACACTGAAGCTTTGGCAGCTCTGCAGCTTTGTTCCTGTCCATCATGGGCTAGATTAGGTGAAAAGACAGACACCACATAAGATCTTTCTTTTCTTTTTTTTTACCAAATGTTTCCAAGATGGCCGCTTTTCTAGTAGAATTACCACCAATATTAGAATGGCAAGTTTTGTGTGAAAACAAACAGGTACTCACGATGGGCTGTTGCTCAAGAACAGTCCTCTCAAGATCACCCTGCTCCCAGAATTCAGCTGCTACAGAGAGGGCAACCTAGGATGGGACAAATCACGCTTTGTATATTCCAGAGAAGCAAAAGAGAAGTTATTCTTCAGTTGACATTTCCTACCTTGCTCTGCACCTCCCATGGCTTCGTGATAGCTGAGAGGTCACACGCTGTCATCATCATCGCCCTGGTCGATTAATAAAAATATGAAAAAATGAAAAGCACAAAATTATTCTTTTTAAAATATTTATTTTGCCAAAATGCCTAATGTAGCTATAAATGGAAACACTTACATTACAATTTCTTTCCTTGTTGTTTCAAGGGACATGAAGTCCACCCATTTTTTCTCCTCTTCATATGTCTCAGAGAGATCCACAATTTTCTGGAACATTGTCCTCTTTCTTTTAGGTAGAGAAAAAGTTGAGTTGAGCGGAGTACATTTTTGTTTTAAATTTAGTTTTGAATTCTTTAAATGAACAGCCATGATCACTATGAACTGTCATTGTATAAAAAGCTGTATGACAGCATATGTGTTTGAAACAACATAATGATGAGTAAATAATTTAATAGTGGCATTTAAAACATTCCATTGTTACATATTGTAACTTACTTGAAGTACAAGGCAAGATCAGTTGCGATAATGGCAATATCAATGAGGTGGAAGACATGCTCTGTTTGTCTTCTGTTGAGGTTTTGGAAGATGTTTAATGACTAAGGAAAAACAAATATGTAAGTATCAAATCAAATTAACATGGAAGCTTACATTCTGGACAGTGTGCTCATACCTCATCGCCTAGCAAAAATTTGCCAAAATCCAAGTGATGCCTCTCTAGAATGGAGGATACATGCAGCTTGGCTAGAGGATTTTGGGACCTAACCAAAAAAATACAAAAGTAATGATGATTATTATTATTATTATTATTATTATAAGAAGCAATAGTAGTACAAGTACTAGTAGAATTAGTATAAGTAGTTTACTGACTTCACTTGGTAGAGATTATTTGTGCCTCTGTGGTCGATATCATGCAGGAAACCAGCAGTGATCATGGCCATCACCTCCAAATCTGAGTAATACCTCTTCAGTTTGCCTGTCTGGCTCCATAAATACAAAAAAAATTTTCTCATTAAGATTTTATTATTTTGTGCATCAAAAATGTGTCGTGAACAACAAAGTCAAAATGCTAAAATATATTTGTCTGAGCAACCTAACTGGGCATGAGTTTGGGCGGGGCTATCCGTTTGTCTAACCAATGGAAGATGAAGGAGTGTTTGAAACTTGTTCGAAAAACAATCATTATTTTTGCTAATGTGTTTGAAATATTTACTTAAATTAAAATACATTTTGTTTTGACCCTAAACAAGTGCTTCTATAGCTCAAACAGTACAGTATGATGCTAGCAACACTAACATCATGGTTTAAAATGAACTGAAAACATAAGATGATAGTGGCTTCCAATTGCATAAATGTAAATGTAAGCTGAGCAGGTCATACCGTGAGTAAAGTGAACATGGTTTGCCCAACATTGAAGCCATGGCGCCAGTTGTGGTAGGTGATTTTCCTGTAGCCTTTGCTGACGGAGTACATAAATCTCACTAAAACCTAATTAAAGCAGATAGCATCCATATAACATTGTTTTTATGAAATTTCATGATACACACAAATCAAGTGTTTCTGTCATCATAAACATGAAAATGTACCTCCTGAGGGATCTGAAACTTTCTAACCACCCCAACTTCATAGTACATCTGGATCCCACACATTACAAGCTCCAGTTCAGTGCAGTCAAAGTCTGAAAAATGGAAGGCGTAGATCTCAAACTTTTTTGGGCCAGGCAGCTCTTTTTTCTGCATAAAAAAAAAAAAAAAAAAAGTCAGACAGTGCATAACTTTTTGAGAACACAAAACCAAGTATATTGAATAATTTGAAGAATGCAATATCAGCTGAAACAATGTAACTTGAACATCATTAGCATGTTAAGAGAGTCACAATAGACATATTTAAAATAATCTGTAATGTTATTGCTAATGGTTTCCTATTAAAGGTGACTTTCTTTGCCTTATCTATCTGAGAAGGTTGGGATCAGCCTGTACCCTGATTTCAAAAATCTTTAATTAATAAGATAAAAGGAACAGTAAACAGGTCAAAGTACCAGAATCTCCAAAAGCTCGTCCTCCTCACAGTCTCTTGGCTCTTTGTCAAAATATTGTCTTGTTTTCTAGAATAGTAATACCAAACAGAACAAATATGAACAGAGATAAAATACAATAAATTACAGTACAATACAATAAATTAAGTAACTTGGAACTTACAAGGATATTTTGAATCTCATCATCTCGACATTTGACATGGTAAAGCACCATGTCCTGGGCAATGTCCTTCCTGTTCTCCAGCTTATTCATTTTGTCGTAGGTGTCCGTGTTGAGGGCCGACCAGCCCAGAAACTGTGTCAAAGCCTGTCAAGACAACAATGCATTGTTCCATGACTCAACAAGTCAGTGGTGACCCATCTCTGTCATTCTTCCAATCAATTGATCAATTTTACCTCCATGAGTTGTTCATCATGGTCATCAAATGGTTTGCCATCCTTCCTGTTGTAGAAAGTTGCAACACCAACAATTTCTTCTTTTTTGTTGACAATTGGCAGACACAGCACATTCTTTATGGTCCATCCACTGCTATCCAGAGCTTCCGTCTACAGAAGCACAAAGTGTTATTACTGCAATTCAAGGCAACTTCAACCATTAAACATGTTTTAGATAGCAAAACATATCTGCCTGAAAGTTGAACATTTCCTCTGATGCTGCATTCATGATGTTGCAAATCTTGAGCACACAATAAAAGTCAATAAATAAATATGAAATATATATTTACTAAAACAATCAACCATACTTTGTTCCCAAAAGAATAGAGGAGAAACTTACCAATCCATTTTCTGCTACATATGTGGGTAATCCACTAGACAAAGCCCAATGATCTGGAGTTGGATTTCTGTGGGGGAAAAAAGAGAGAGAAAATATATATATTTTTAATAATGCCATCTCTTAAAATGCACACTTTGGATATAGCACATCAGAAAAAAGGCTACTATGAGAAAAAAGAAAACTTACGGTATGACCTTGATGTCCTCTTTTCCGTGCAAAATATAATCAATAACTTTGTAGAAAATTACTTCCTAAGTGAAACGAAAGATGAAAATAAGATTTTATAAGCATTTTAGAGGCAGAATTCTATCATCATTTACTCATGTCATTCAAACCAAGTATGACTTTTTCAAAAATGTCCAAGCTGCTCTCTTCCATATAACAAAAGTGAATGGTAACCACAGGTGTCACTGTTTGGAAAAAAAAGCAGCTCGGACATTCTGCTAGATTGTTCCATACAAAAAAAGTAATATGGGTTTGCATTGGCATGAGGGGGAGTAAATGATGAAACACTTTTTTTGGATTTTTGGCTGAACTATCCCTTTAATTTGAAATTTGAAAAATGCAGCCTACTCTTCCATCTGGAGTTACAGGGCCCGAATAAGGTGCCTGCTCTCCCATCAACACTGGCCAAATATCAAAGAACTCCTGAAAGAGAACAAAACCACCAGGTCAGACGTAGAGAGAAACAGTACAGACTGAAGCCTCTAAAGTAAGCATGAAGCCTTTGTTCCTTTCAGCAATTATAGTGATTGACGTACCTTTTCCTTGGTCATGTCCAGCAGGCCCACAGAGTACCTGTCACAGTTGAGGTAGGCTCGCACGGTGTACAAAGCTTTGTGAAACTGTCGTTCAATGTCTGTGAGCTCTTCAAACACCTTGTTAGCTGACCACAACAGCAGCTATGCATGAGATACATAAAAATTGCATTAAGAACCATATCTTTTTCAATTAATTTTTAACAATTTCACCAGCTAGTGTTTGCAAGCTTATGCAGACTGACCTGTCCTTTACGTGTTTCACAGTTATGAAGGTAGCTCAGATGAAATATCTTCAGGTTCAGAGAGCCAACTTTCATATACTTTAAAAAAAGCTTTGAGAAAAAGAGGCATATTTTTGAGGAAATTGTAAAGAAAATAACATGCCAAGTATGCTTAAATGTCATAATGCCAAGTACAGTATGTCTTTAGTGTCTCATTTCAACATTTTATATACAGTAGTCAACATTTGAAGTGGATCAAAACCTTTCATCAAAGTTAAACATGAATTTTGAACAATACCCGTTCTTGTCTTAGCACAACTTTGATGAACTTTTTTGATCCACTTCAAATATTGACTACTGTATAAAAAAAAAATGTAACTCTTAAAGGGGATCTATTAAGACAAAATAGGACTCATCTCATGATTGAGTCTGGATCTGAAGTTTGCGCACGAAGCGTTGGTATTATGGTAACCCATCTTTCAGAATCAACCTTTTTGAAAATCCAGCGTTAAAAAGACGCTTGTTTGTGAAGCAGTCCGGTGCAAAAATCATTAGCACAAACATATAGGAATTTTGCGATTTTCTTTGGGACAATGTCCTCAGTGACTCAGATGGCGGGTGTCTATGGAGACTCTTATGTGCATTGGTACATCCCAAAACACAACAATAGTAATGCCTCTTTGGCACAGACATTGTACAACTCCAGCAGCAACAGCGAGGATACAAAAATGGCGGACTTTGTGCTTCTCACTCAAGGCTGTGTCTATGCTAATAGGGCAGATTGTCACCGGCTGTGGGCGGGGCTTATCCCTACTATGACGTCATTGTAGGAGGGAATCTGAATCAGCGAGTTTGAATAGACTGCTTTTGATTTATGGGAATTATAAAAAATGAGTGAGTGGATTTTTACCATTAAATGCTGGTTGCTCTTACACACTGCGGACACACATCGGTGTTCAAACACCTCATAAAAGTGAATTTTGCATAACAGTTCTCCTTTAAGTCAGATAGACTTAATGCAAAAGCAAACACTTATTACCAGGCATTATTGTCTTTTTTGAACAGTATTGTTTTCTCATATAAAATCTAACTTGTAATGCAAAAAAAGTTTATTGAAAGTTGTGCTTGTGCTATCTGTACTCTGTAAATGCTAAATGGCATTTATTAGTTATACTAATTTGTTTGATATTTTGTTATCTAATGCAGTGACATTCAAACATTTTTTTGTTTTGAGGCCACTGTATAAATAATAGGTGGTGGACAGAAAAGGCAGACAGACACTTACATCCTCATCTTCATCTGTGAAATGGGGTCCAGTAGTCTTGTTGACTGCCATGATGACGGCTACTATGTCCTTGCCGTTCATAACAGGCGTGGCCAAGATGTTGCGCGTGGTGTATTCAGTAAGTTCGTCAACGAATGTGCTGAAGTGACTATCCTACAGTGAAAGCAAAGTCAGTTATGTCACACACATAGTACACCATCTCCACTCAATTATACTTGTATTTATCACTGTCGTAGGATCAGACTGCAAACAAACTTTGGATTCAAATTAGTTTTCTCATGATGACAATATCTCATCACAGATGAAACACATATATTAGAAAATAACATATTTAAAAGACTCTTTTTACTGATATACTGATAACTGACTTTTAATTGTGGCACTAACATGCACATTTATCTGACAATTAATTATTGCAAATGAATTCATTTCTTATGGATATTAGAAAGCACATGAAAAAGAAAATTAAGTGTTTTCGCCCTTTTTTAACAAATCAAAATAATTGTGTAGATGCCATAACACAAACAACATACTGTAAAAATGATTAAATGAACAATCTTTTCACTCACTGCTGTGAGAAGATTTGGTCATTACATAAATGCCACAGGTGAAATAATCCTTCATACTGGACGTAGGTCATGGCATATTGAAATAAATGGGATTATGTCAAGAGGATTTGCCGAGCCTCAAAATATGACCATAGCTGCAGTCTATTAATGTATAATAATGTAATTAGTCTCTTTCAATCAAGTTTTACAAAGTGTGTCTGATCTGTGTACAGATGTTTCAGAGTGGTTCGTACCTTTGTAACATCCTTCACATTGACAGTCTTCTTGGTTTGAGCCACATGTCCTACTATACCGATGTCCAGAGGGAAGACGATCTCAGAGTCTGGAGGCACCACACAGTCATCGAGCTCAGAATCTTTATTAACGTTGAAGAGACGCGTAGCCAGCTCGGCGATGCCGTTCCGTTGTCGATACATGAAGAGGCTACATCGGTCAGCATGGATCAGAGCGCTGATCCTCTGTAGAATCTTAAAAATCACCTTCTCCATATTGACGTTCTCCTGCATGTCTGTAATGAGATCGTAGAACATCGCTCCTTCTTCTATCGAGCTTATGGCCTTAAAACTGTTCACATCCACTTTCGACTCCGGTATTTGCATGATCGAGGCCACGGCACCAGGTTTGAGCTTTTTGTCAAAATAGCTCCTGGCAAAATCTGGATTTCCATCCAGGAACTTCTCCACGTCTTCCATTTTGACACTCATCGTGGGATCTTCTGGCCCAGTCCCAGTACTGGCAGGTAATGGCCAAGTAATGAGAGTTCAAATGAGTTTTCAGGACAAAACAACTGAATATTTACAGCATATAATCCTCAAATGGTTGAGAAAAAGAGAAATCGTGAGATGAGACGCCTGCCACAGCAGGGGCAACCCGTGTCCAATCTAACTGTCATCAGCAAGGTGTTTTCCTAATAGTGTTGAAGGTGAATCAGGATCTGCTCTAGTAAAACTGATCAGGTGACCTGCATCAAAGCCTGAGCCCACAGCTGAAACTGACCAACGTCCTCCTCTGAACTCTCCTCTGCTCTCTCTGTCCTGGGAAAAAGAAGAGCAACAACCGTTTTAGAGGAAAAGCAACAATCATATAGTATGAGTGGTAATGCACAATCACATGCTTTGTTCCTCTTTGTGTCTTCTCCAAAAGGCCTGGCCTTTATGCTACAAGCTCTTTAAGTTCTTATTAAAAACACACTCCTTATTACTAAGCCCTATTTAACCAGGCCACTAGCTGATTATCTCAGCACCCCAGTTGTCTTCTTGCTCAATGTGACTGATACAATGGGAGCAGTGAAAGGGATTTCCTAAAAAATGGAAAAGAACAAATGTACAATATATCTGAAGATTCTTCATTACCAGTAGGGAAAGTGACTTTTAAAAGTAATGCATTATAATATTGTGTTACTCCCCCAAAAAGTAACTAACTGAGTTAATTAGTTACTTTTTATGGATTGTAATGTGTTACATTACTTTTGCGTTACTTTTTCTCATCTGGGCTGGGCTTGCTTGTTGGTAACATTTTAGCAAAGGTATAGGCCCCTTTACACCATTAGTTAAATAAATAAGCCTCTGGCTGAAGGAAATTAAGCAAATCCACGCCTATACAGTAGAGGCAAACAAATAGTTTTTCTAAACTAATTTTTGCTTTTTAGTATATTTGAATTGGATCAAAGAAGGTCAACAGCAAAGACATTGGTTCATAAAGTGAGATACATGAAATATAGTTATGTAATTTAACATTTAATTATTGCAGGTTTGCATATATTCTGAGTTGTTATAAATTTTGAGGTATGCTGAATATGGTTTTGTGCAAGATGAGTAAATGCATGCTCACATTTAGTCTACAACTATAACCATCATGTTTAGACAGCGCGCACAACGCCTCTGCTCCTTGCTCTCGATTTCACTCAATATGGGGACAAGAGAGCTGTCAGTCAATAATGGGAATACAAAGTAACTTGCATTACTTATTTGAAAAAGTAACAGATATTTTGTTGTAAGTTTAGAATTAATGTGTAACTTTACTAGTTACTTAAAAAAAGTAATCTGAATACGTAACTTGACTAAATGACCATTTAAGAGAAAAAAGTTAAGTTAAATTAAAACCAGCAATTCTCAAAAATAGTCAATATCTGTATTGCATCATAATTCTATGAACGCCTCATTTTGTATGGCAGTAACATGATAAGCTTGTGTGTTAGTGAAAGATGTGGGTCTAGATGGAATAACGACAGAGTCTTATCATAAAATACCTATAATCTTTTGTTCAGGTAAAGTACATATCTATATAAAGGCCTCGTATCCATCTTAAGCAAAAGGTCAAGACAAGAGGATGATCAGCATATTAATAGCTCCATACAGTACGTGCACAACACAAGTCACAGCTTTGGCTGCTGAAGGAAGGTGAATACTGGTACATTTCTATTGTGTAGGTGAACCCAGAAGTTTAGAAGCTGTACATGATTATTAGTCAGATGTATCCAGCTGTCAGTTAGTTGCCTGAGTACACAGACATTTTAACTAAATCAACCTGTTAAACAAAATGCTGTCTCTTTGGAGAAACTTGGAGGTTCAGGAGGGACAGGAGTCAACTCTCAGTACCGTCTACAAGGGTGTGATTCTACGATCTCTACATTAGCACATCAGACCCATAACCAATAGGATTTCATCAGCCAACATATTGATAAGGGTAACTTATTCCTATGTATAAATTATTTGTGTTAATGTTTGTTTGGCCATGAAAATTATATGCAATACATTAGTATCCTTTGACATGACAAGCAACATGTTTTATTAGTAAGTTTCTACCGTCCTGACCAACATAAGGGCAGTAATCAGAACCTGAATCCAGACCTAAGTGAATTTTGCAATAGTTCTTTTGTTACTGTACCACCTAGTGTTAAGCATCAGTAATGTTTTTGCTGATAAGAATAATGCCGCAGGGTTCCTCAAACTCGGTCCTGGAGGGCCACTGTCCTGCAGAGTTTAGCTCCAACCCTGATCAAACACACCTAGCTGTGAGTTTCTAGTGGCCCTGAAGACCTTGATTAGCTTGCTCAGGTGTGTTTGATCAGGGTTGGAGCTAAACTCTGCAGGACAGTGGCCCTCCAGGACCGAGTTTGAGGAACCCTGCCATAGAGGAACGAAAACAAAACAACTAAATAATTGAACATAAAAACAAACAAATTCTCAAGCCCTTGTAAATAAAAGACCACAAGACTCAAGGTTTTAAAGAATCAGAAGACAACATAAAGTGTTTTTTTTTGTAGTCTGAATGCAGCTTTTGTCACTGCCTAAAATGCCCACAAAGGTGCAGTAGACCACAGTTTTTCATTTCACCGAACTCATTCGAACTCATCTGAAATTATTTTTCTTACATGCGAAAGATGTTGCATTTGACTGAACTCAACTGATCTCGACTTTTTCTCAAATGCGGTCCTTGGATTGATAGAGACTGCATGGGAGGGGGTGGGCTGCCTGGGTCAATAAAACTTGAAAACCCCTGAAAAAATTATAAATATGACACAGTCAGAAAGTGCTAGCTAGCCACACATGTATTTGTTAACCTGTAGCTAACACAGACCTTTAAAAAATAAAAAACTTGTTCTCTAAACTGGAGCATGAAACAACGGATCTGATTCCAGAAAAATAGTCTAATCTAGTGTTTCAGCCAATTTGAACATGTGCATGGTCAGCACTTGTGTACAAACTCACACTAAGGAGTGCCTTTGTTTGAATAGTTTCATTGATTGGCTAGGAGCAAACCATGAGAACATGGGGGATGTGTGGGATTAGGATCAGGGCTTATGGGTTGAGGTTCACTTGGACAACAAACAAAACAAAAGGGCTATAGATACATTTCTGTGTGTGCTAAAGCTGAAGGAAACAGTTAGCAGGAATTGAGGATATCCACTAAGAAACAATGTAATGTGAAAGGTTTAGTTTAGTTAGAGGTAATTGTTAAACAGCAAGTGCAAACAATATTTTACACTTTCTGACCTGTTAAAACTCCTTAAAGGGATACTCAATCCCAACCCAATTAAAATGTTGCTGTTATTTACATCATCCTCACGTCATTCCAAACCTCTTTGACTTTCTTTCTTCTGCGGAAGAACACAAAGGAAGATATTTTAAGGAAAGAATATAACCAAACAACATCAGAGCCCACTGACTTCCATTGTATGACAAATTGATCTAAAAAATATCTTCTTTTCCATCCCACAGAAGAAAATAAATCATACAGTTTTTGAAATGAGTAAATGACAGCAGAATTTTCATTTTTGGGTGGAGTATCCTTTTAAAAGTTTTCCCCCATAGTTCTTACACCTGTTTAAAGGTAAATGTGCTCCACTGCACAAGAATAACAACAACCATGGAAAAACAATAAAACATATTCATAGTCTTCCTTGCCATCTGTTTACATAGTATATATAGCAGATGGCTTGAGAAGCTGTGGCCAAAAAAAGAAATAAAAGTCTTTAAAAAGAAGTGTACTAATCTCAGCGGAGTACACCTACAAATAGATACCATTGAACACTGTCTGGTGTGCCAGGAGAGGTTAGCCAGGTTAGCCATCTCTCATCTTTAGCATAAATAAATGGATTCGGATTCAAATTATGGCAACACTGCCACTGTTGAGTTACTTAAGACAGGATCTAATTATGCAGTATGTAAAGGAACCCGTCAAGCATACTGGCAACTGTATGGATACATATTACAGTATATTGCCTAGATCACCCAACCTGAGAACGGTCACCGTGATTTTTGCCAAGCAAGACATGTTCCTAGATCAACATATTTTGTTGATCCGGAAACAACATTCCTGTCTGAAAATGTAGTCCTTATCCCTACCCCTAAACCTACCAAACCCTACCCATAAGTTATCCCTAAAATGTTGATCCAGGAACATGTTGCACTTGGTGAAATCACGTTCACCACCTGGGAGCAAAGTTTCTTGAGGTCACAGTAGCATCTGAGCCAAGAGATCTCAGTGCTGTAGTGTGGCCCGTGGCCAACCAATCCTAATACTGCTAATTCAGCAGATGTTGGCCACAGATATGCATGGGAAGTAGTCCAAAGAACAGTTCAGAAAAGACTTCTGGGGACAATCTAGAACAATTATTTTCAAAATAGACAAATGTTCAGCAATCATATTTTACAATAAATATATTCTTCAAAATCAAACGTCTGGGTAAATATCTTAAAAACACAGACCTAGGGCCAGATTTACTAAACAGGGCAAATTAGCATGAGCGCAATTCCAAAATAGGTGGGAGTGGAAAGTTCTGCGCATGATCTACTGACGACGCGCATATTAAAGAACAGACGGATCATTTCCGTTAGCGTCTGGTTTAAGACATACTTTTTTTGGGTGGTAAGTAATGGTGCAAACACCAGTAAATTGACAAGCCCAAACCTTAGTAAATCACCTTGCATGATATAGCCTATTTAACTACTCTCCCGCCATAAATTTTGCGTCTGAAAGGGAAACTCCTAAATGCATATGCAATAAGGTCAGCCGCAAAAATAACTGTCCACGGCTTTTTTAGCACTAATGTTTCACTGCGTGTCTTTAGTAAATCCTGACAGTAGTTGTTTTTTAACACCAAGATGGTTTGCGATGGCGCAAGCTGTTAGTAAATCTGGCCCCTCTACTGTTAACAGTGATTCCTGAAATACATTTCCATACAAAACTGTGATACCGGTTATGAATCTCGGGCTAAAAGAGCTACCAATAAAACTGGTGTGTGTTTTTGTGATGCTTGTTAAGTGGCCACAATAACAGCAAATAATTCAATGCTATTTTATTTAGGCCTATCCATTTCTGATGGTGTAGCTAGTAAATTGTACTATATATATATATACGTTTACTTTTTAAATAAATCAATCTTTTCATCGAACTTGCTAATTGATTACTATTAAAATGTATATAGGCCTACACTTCAAATCTTTAGACAATTTTATTATAGAGTTGAATGACGAGGGAGACTAGGAACCTGTACAGCATCTTAATGAATAAATATGGAACAAAATAGGTAATGGATACAA